ATTTGATGGAGAATAAGATGGAGGACTGTAGCACTTGGAATGAGAGGTCATTCCATGTACGAAGAAGGCAGGATGAAGGGAACAAGAGCCCAGCCCTTCTTTACATTTCACAGAATAAAATCAACTTTTATTCATTAAAATAATCATTTGTTATTTTGTTTATATCTCAAAAAAATTAGTACCCGCTCAATATGGCCAAATCATTTACAGCATCAGAGGAGGGCACAGATACCATGGTGATGAGTGAGGCACAAACATCTAGACAGACGTGAAAGTTGCTATACCCCTTTGTCAGTGTAGTTAAGAAAATGAATTAACAAATCACACACCATTTAGTGAATTCAGTTCTGAATAGCTTATTTGCCTTATAATATAAATGGACTCAGTCAATGGTAATGAATAATGAAATAATTTTACTTACAATTCCCGGGTATAAAACAGTTCCCTGGTTACCTGTATGTCCATGGAGCGGGGAGTGCGGTCGTGGGAGTGTTGGAGATGTGCTGGATGTTACAATCAGGCTCTTCCTGTTGCTCGTCCGACAACTGAAATGAAATGAAATAATGATGAGGAGCCATTTTAAACAAAGGGCCACAGTAGTTTTAGGAAGAACCAGCCAGATTTCCTATTGCTGACTAGGATCAGTATTTGGCTTCACATTTCCTCATGTACTGAATTCTGGAGTTGGGGCTGCAGATAAAGAAGAAGTACACAGGGCTAACCGTTATTAGGTCAACACCAGGATTTTACAATTCACCGTAGAAGTGATATTAATGCATTCTGTGTTGCATGCTGTTTGGATCAGTGAATATAGTTTACCAAAAAAATTCCCCACTCCTTTCTGAAAAACACGCCCTTCTCATGCTTTATCAGTTGTTAATATCACAAAAACACAAACAGTAAAACGTTTACATCATTTTAGTGTGTACTTCCATTTCGATTTGTAAATTATTTATTTTATATGTTATATTGGTAGATATTAAAATCTATTACAACGGCTATTTCATCATATCGTGAGAAAACACAATAATATTAATTGGAAAATGGTAAATCTGTAAAGTTTTAATACTGACCAATGTATTTATTTTCTTTTCAATTTAGTGTTAGCAAAATTGCAAAGAGCACATGGAGATGCAAGTGGGATTTCACCCTTCAAAGCAAGGAAATCGGAAGGTGAGTTCCAAACAAACCCTGAGAATCAAAGGGTCTTCATTACAGGTGCTGCAATACCCATCCACAATAACATGAATTGAGCAAAGTTTCAGGGCCAAACTCTGAACAGGTGCAACTCCATTGACTTCAATGGAGTTACTCCAACCATGAATTTGGCACCCAGTGCACATTTATTTATTTATTTACTTGCTATTGAGGGGTATCAAAATTAGATTGTTTCCAAAGATCAGTGTTTTTCCCCCTTTGCTCACTGATCCAGGTCTAGTTCTTGGAAAAGTGTAATTAGTCCTAAAAGCAATTGTAATGGACCAGTGACATGTTTTTAGACCAAAGAAGCTGTGAGGTACCGGTTTATAAAATCATATTCTATTTACCATCTTTGTTTTTGTTCCTATACAAACTGTGACATGAGTTCAGCAGCAGCATCTCATGAATTGCTAGAGATTAATTTGACAACAGGAATTCCAAGCTTCTTTCAGTTATCATAAAACATTTCTACTTTGCTCTGGTGGCTCTCAAGACAGAGTTTACTAATACGATGTTGGAAATGATGTGGCATGGCGGGAAAGAAAAATTAACGGTAATCAAATTGATATTATTTTATAGTGTCTTGTAACAAGATAAGCAGTTAATGCATACTACTGAAAAGATGTGAAACAAAGCTTCTCATTGACGTAATTGGTTCCAAACTGTTTGCAAATTATTAGGTACTGAAATGTTCACTGGTCCCTTAGTCTAACACTACATTTCAGCAGTTATCAAACTCCCAATTACCACAATTTATGGAAAATTATTTTACAGTCACAGAACCATTAGTGTAGCTGATTATTAATTTTTATTTGAACATAATAAGCTTTTCTGGTTGTTGTTCAAAACAGAAGTTAGAGTATGTTAAAAACAGAAAAAAAACCCCACAACTGGACTGCCAATAAATCACAGTAAAGTTGAAGCACCATTAGCTGCCACTCTAGCTCTTTAGTGTACTTAAAATTTCTGTGAAAATTATACAGCTGATTCAATACAATCCTCACTTACATTTAAGTACTATTCAGCAAGAGTCTATTCAAAAATTGATTGCTACTTTGCATATAGTATGCAAAATCTAACAGCATGAGCCCAAGAAGCTTAAAATCTCATAGTTTATAAATAGATTCTTAATGTGCGTCTTGAGTTACTCTGTTCCATTATTGTAGAATACGAAATAGAATACTGAGTTCAAAGACTAATACCAGAGAAGCATCCCATTTATACTGTTAATATAATAAACCCTTGTCCCGGTAAACACAACCGAAGTATTTTAATATGAAGTACTGTATATGAAAATTAAGTAGTTTTCAATAGGCAAACATTAAATGGGGGTCTTTCTAGTCAGATTCTAGGCGGGTCAATACTAGGCCCTTCACTATTCAACATTTTCATCACTGATCTGGAATTAAATATAAAATCACAACTTCTAAAATTTGCAGATGACACAAATGTTTGGCAAGTGGTAAATAATGAGAAGGGAAAGGCAGTCAAAGAGAGATCTGGATCACTCAGGAAGCTGGGTCCATCAGACAAAACATGTTTTCATACAGCCCCAAGTGCAAGGTTATACATCTAGGAACAAGGAATGAAGCCAAGGGACTGTGTCCTGGAAAGCAGGGACTCTGAACAGAGTTTAGGGGTCACAGCAGACAAGCAACTCAACATGAGCTCCCAGGGCTATGCTGAGGCAAAAATGGGTTAATGCGACTCTTGGTTATATGAGCAGGGAAGCAGTGAACAGGAGTAGGGAGATGATTCACCTCTATACATGGCACTGATGAGACCAACAGTAGAATACTGCCTACAGCTCTGGTGTCTACATTTTAAGAAGGATGTTGAAAAATTGGAGAGGATGCAGAAAAAAGCCTCAAAAATTATTTGAGGGCTAGAGAAAATGCCTTATAATGAAAGGACTGACTTCAAAAGCTCTAACTGGTTCAGCTTATCAAAAGTAAGTTTGAGAGGTGTCTTGATTACAGTGTTTATGTACCTTCCTGCAAGAAAATACAGGGCGATAAAATAGTTCTTTAATCTAGCAGGGAAAGGCATAACAAGAACCAATGGCTGGAAGCTGAAGCCAGACAAATTCAAATTAGTCCCACATTTTGAACACTGAGAGTGATTAATCACTGGGAAAAAAATACCAAGGGACATGGTGGACTCTTCATCTCTGGATGCCATCAAATCAAGACTGGATGTCTTTCCAGAGATTAGGCTTTAATCAAACAAGTTATTGGGTTCAGTATAGAGGTAACTGTGAAGTTTAAGGGCCTGTGATATACAGGAGGTCAGACTAGATAAACTAATTGGTCCATTCTGGCCTTAAACTCTTTACTATTTATAAACTCTCCAAACTGTGCTAGACATTTCCCTGCCCAAAAGAGCTTACAACATAAGATATGGCATGACAGAAGATAGCAACAAAAATGGGAAGGAAAAGGAAGGACGAAGTTTACAAAATTAGAAGTCAGATGGTTACAGTACTCAGATTAGTTCTACGTGCCTCTTAGTATTTTTACAAGAAAGAAAGAAAACTCTCACCCAGTGCTCACATACACTGAGTTTTATAATTGTCTATAAGCCAATAATTACTTTTACTTAATTATTTTAATTAAACCCATGAAAAGACTAGCCAAACTATCCCCTACCTTTGACCTCACCCTGCCCTGCTTTCACAATTCAACCCAAGATGTGGACTTTGATAACAACAGATGTTACCTAGATACCCCTTATGGCTGAAAATTTACCCCTACATTATTTTAATTTAAACAAGGTGTAGTTTACTACTACAGGATTTCTCTGTTTCCATAGATTTGTGCAATAGAGAACTAACATGCTAAACATATTTGGAAACATGTCAAATTCAGACTACCACTGCTATCGACTAAATTGGCTCTTTGCACACCACACTACTTGGACTGCACACACTCTATTCTTGACAAAAACTATGTACTGCCAAAAATTATTCTGGATCTAGAAAAAAAATTTAAAATCCCAATTATTTTTTACTAGACACAATAAACTGGTAGTTATTTATGTTGAGAGATTTGTAACAATACCTTTACTGACACCATGAAAATATCATTTAAACTATTTCTAGAGTTAACTGCTCTCCCTGTAGTAAAAATAACATTTGTTACATGTGCTAAAATACTCTAAGTACATTCTTGAAATTGAACACTGCAGGACATTGGACTTGGACTGGGTAACTGGATACTAGTTTTGGACTCTCTGACGTGCTCTGTAGTTAGACACTCTTCTTCCAAGGTAATTTATGAGAATGTTTGTTAAAGTACCTGATTGCTATATGCAATCTTAGTGGTTTTGAACCAGTAACATACTAACAAATCTTGAGTCATTTTCTTCCAAGCCTCTATAAAAGACTAATACACCTTGTTTTGTATTCACTTTCTGGCTGAACATGAAACCAATGAATATTTCAGTTTCAATAAGATCTACAATAAAATCAATCATCAAATAATTTTAACGCCAAAATTCACTCATGCTCCTTCTCTTGCTCACAGGAGTACCGTGAGGCAAATTAATTAATGTAGGTGAGGACTTTACTCTATGGGAATGAGTACCACAGAAAAGCCAATGAGAGAATAAATAAATATATTCATTGTTGTTAAATAGTACCTTAGAATCACAGATATTAGAGATGAAAGAGAAACTGCCAGGTTATTCAAGTCTATCTCCCTGCCAATGCAAGACTGAACAGAAAAAATGTATCTATAGTAGACAAAAGTTTACACCAACTATATGAAACTTTGGATAGGCTTTGGTATAAATTTTAACTTCAGTAAAATTGTTAAAAAATCATGCAGATTTCTATTTTAACCCTTAATTTTTTTTATAGCAGAATTAAGGGTTATAATAGAAGTCTGTGTTCTAACTAGTGATTTCTTTACATCAACCCAGATTTTTTTTAAAAGCTTGACTAACCTGTTGCCACTTTTCAAGTACTAACACTTTTAGGAGCAGATTTCATTCCAGAAATCCAACAAGTGGGCTCAATATTTGATGTACAGCAGAGTCATGCCTACTAAATGGAATCCATATTTTAGAATTAATACAGCTGCAGAAGATTATCCTTGATTACTTGTCTTGCCTAACCCTAACAATAAACAGCATTAAACCAAGGTTAATTATTAACTGGATTTTCCTCTGCCTTTAAAAGCAACTTTCAGACAAGATCTTTAACTGTCTTTTGTTGACATATTTCACAAAAAGTTCTTTTTATGAGAAACAGACATTTTGAAGATGAAAACAAATATTTAAGAATTTTTGTTCACAATGGAGCAAAATATTCAAATCTGAAATCTGCACGTTAATGAAAGCACCA